TGACAAGATCTGTTGGGGACAAAACCATGCTGACTTCCTCTGATCACTAAGTGGTCCTTCAGATCTTTACAGATCGAGCCTTTTAAAATCTGCTCTAATATCTTCCCAGCAACAGAAGCCAGACTGACTGGCCTGTAGTTTCCTGGGTCATCCTTCTTCCCTTTTTAAAAAAATTGGGATAACATTTGTTCTTCTTCAATCTTGTGGCACCTCTCCAGTCCTCCAGGAGGCCTTGAAGATCATCATCAGAGATCATCAGAGGCTCTGCGAGTTCCTTAGACAGTTCTTTGAGCACTCTTGGGTGCACACCGTCTGGCCCAGGGGATCTATATTCATCCAGCGCAGCCAGATGCCTCTCCACAACCTCCCTGTCAATGTCAACTGGACGCTCAGGTATCCTGTCATGTCCTCTACCATCTCTAGATGGGCTCGAGTTCTTCTGGGAGAAAACAGAGCCCAAAAAGTCATTAAGCCTGTCTGCCTTTTCTCTGTCCTCCACCAGAGCTTCTCCTTCTACTCCCAAAAGTGGTCCAATTGCCTCTTTTACCTTGCGTTTGCTTCTCACATATCTGTAGAACTTTTCTTATTGTAGCGAGCCCCCCTGGCCAGACCCAACTCATACTGAGCTTTGGTTTTTCTGATGGCTGATCTGCAGTACCTAGTAACTCTCATATGCTCCTCTTTAGAGGTCTGACCTCCCCTCCATTTCGTTTTTCTCCCTTAGCTTATTCTGAAGCTCTCGGTTCATCCACATTAGTTTCTTGGAGCTCTTACCAGGTTTCTGTCTTGTTGGAATAGTGAGGGCTTGCGCTTGCAAAAGCTCATGTTTGAGAAGAGCCCACCCTTCACTCGCTCCTTTCCCTTCCAGCACAGTCCCCCACGGAATGACTCCCATCAAGCCACTGAGTTCGTTGAAGTTGGCAGTACGTCTTTTACCTTGCGTTTACGTCTCACATATCTGTAGAAGTTTTTCTTATTGTAGCATTTTTAGGCCTGCCGTATTTTTTCCTGGCAGGACTTTAATGGCTTAATGCCAGGCTATGGCTGTATGCCATTCAACAAATTACCCAGATACTGGATTCTACAAATTATATCTTTTAAATGCACAGGAGCCCTGCTAGAAAACAAGTTGGTGCTCTGACCTCTATTTCACTGCCTACCACCTCTTTGCAAGTCACATTCATTGCTTTGTCCCTCCACCACCTACCACCTACCTATTTGGCACTTCCCCATTAATATGCTTCTTTAAGCAGCGGTTGGACAAACGCTTGTCAGGGATGCTCAAGGCTAATCCCGCATTGGGCAGGGGGTTGGACTAGATGGCCTGTAGGGCCCCTTCCAACTCTGTGGTTCTAGGATTCTATGAATATTCTTTTTTTCCCCTGGCAATGTGACTCATCCAGCCAGCTGAAGCAAACACAGCACTTTCCCCCACCTTTCAAAGTAGTCCCTTGAATTGCTTTCAGATTAGCTGCCTAGTGGCTGCCTGCCTCTGACTCCTGGCTGCAAACAGGAGGCCAGGCCATTGCACTTACAATAATTGTGTGTTTATTTAATAAGGCTTAGAAAACTAATTTAGCTAAAATGAAACGTAACTACCAGCAGCTGGGGTGGCGGCAGTGGCTGGCGGGTGGGAAATAGGTTCATTCAGGGCCCACTTTCATCTCCACTTTCCACTGTGAGGCAGGAAGAAATGTCAACAGTTTTCCTTGGCCGTAGGAGACTTGTATTCTGGGGTATAAATCCTATTAGGAAAAGAGAGAATTCCTTCCCCTTTTACCACCTGAAAACCTGGGCAGTTCTGACACGACAAAGTTGAGATGTTGCCTGACAAGGAGAGGAAAAGCAAGACAGAGCCAGTGGCCCCTCTAAGTTGTACAGCCAGGGGGGGGCCCTCACGAGGCCCCTTCTTCCTCTGTGAAGAGGGTATGGGCAGCTGAAGGATGCGGAGGGAAGTTTCCCTCAGAGCAGAGAAATGTGATGGGGAGGGAAGAAAGAGGGACATTCCTCAGGGGAAACAAGTGGGCAAGCACCTCATTCCGCCAGCTTCAGATTCCTTCTTCCGCTTCACTCATCATGGGCAGTTCATGTGGTGGCTCAAGGGAATGTCCCCACTGTATGGGAGGTGGTGCTTTTACCGGCAGACATCAGGAAGCAGTGCTAGGTATGCTGGAGCCTAAAACTTCTGAGTGGTTAGCAGAACTCACTGCCTCATCTAGGGTTGCCAACTCTGTCTTGGAAAATTCCTAGATACTTGGGGGGGGAGCCTGGAGAGTACAGGATTTGGGGAGAGGAAAGATCTCAGAAGAGTATAATGCCATAAAGTCCACCCTCCAAAGCAGCCATTTCTTCAGGGAACTGATCTCTGTCATCTAGAGATCAGTTGTAACTTTGGGAGATCTCCTGATTCCATTACCTGTACCTTAATTACCTGTACCTGTTCACTGGACCTGGCTTATGCTCCCCATTGCAGAGAATGACTATTTTAAAAAAAGCAAAGCCCATTTGGTCTTGGAATACCAAAGTGGGGGAGGAGTTCCTGCAGCCTCATAGCAGCCATTGTCCACATCATCAACCATGTAGGGAGTTGTGACACCCCTTTCCCATGGACACAGAGTGCCTACCACCGTCTGCAACCTCTCTTCTTCAGGTTATGGGTTATACATAGGTCAGGATATCACAATGGCCGCCCTGCTTGTCTCTTTTAAAATCTAAAGAGAGTCATGACCATCTCTCACCCCTCAGGTCCTCTCTCTCACTCCCAGGGACAGCCGCAGACAGGGTAGCCCAGCCCCCTGTAATAATCAGCCCTCACACACATAGAGCCATTGGGGTGGGGGCTCAAACATGGTTCCAATCACTTGCTGCCACCATTCATTCATATCTGATAATGCATGTGTATAGATTGTGATGTTAAATTATGTGCATGTGTTTCTTTCACTTTGACACACAGCCCACAGGTTTAACCAAAACAAGAAACTTTTATTTATAAAACCAAAACATTCAGGCCCAGGACCTAGTGCCATCCATGGCAGCTCTGGGACTCTCCCAGTTTGTATCGGTGCCCACACCTCAAGCACACCACATGCTGGATGGCATTTTAGGTATGGTGACAGGAGTGGATCTGGAATCTGATGAGGCAGTACCATGGTCAGACCACTTTGCCCTGAAGGCCTGTCTTTGGTCCTTTCCACATAAGGTTGCCAGACCCCCCCCCGTTTGGTGGGGGGTCACCTGATTTTTGGGGGGGTTCAACCTGCGGCCAGCCGGCTGGCCAGTGGGGGAAGCCCCGCCCCCAAGCCCCAACACCCGCAGCCCCCCTCTCCCTTCTCTCTTGAGAGAGGAGGGAGAGGGGAGAGGGGCGGCTGCAGGCCACGTGCCCGATCTCTGCTCGGAGACTGGGTGGGTAGGGCCTCTGGCTGTGCGCACTTGAAGGGAGCCCCTTTAAGTGCACACAGCCAGCAGGAAAGGGCCCTGCATGCCTGATCTCCGAGCAGCACTGCCACTTGAAGATCGGGCGGGTGGGGCCCTCTGGCTGCGGCTCACAGCTGGCAGGACCATCCCCATGGGGGCAGGGCTTGGAGCCAGGATGTCCCCAATGTGATGTCATCATGTTGGGGACACCCCGCCTCCTCCCCTCCAGGAACACCCTCCAAAGT